TGCTTTTTTAAAACAATAGAAAATTATAACACTCCAATTAAAGTGACTAGAAGAGGCGTTAAAGACTTGCCGGCTACCAAATGAAAAATTCACAAATTTTCTGGCCATTGGCAGGAAAATTCACAACATACACCTTTCACCCTAATACTTTATCAAGCCTGGGCCTCTGGCTTTTCCATCCAAAGAATGCCTCAGGATATGTTGATGTAGGTTGTCAAGAGAATTATTTGGGTTGGATCGACTCATAAAAAAGTCAACCATAAGCACTTGGAGAATTGTCAAGTAAAGGATCTTACAGAACACGCACTGACTGTGGGAGAGGAGATTGTGGGCGGTGGGGTTGGTCCCTTATTGGATTCTATAAAAGGTATCGAGTTAGTTGAAATTTTGATCTTTTTGGGGGTTCTAGTTTCCCGCACCATGCAGGAGAGACCATGATTCATTGAATCAAATGAACATAAAGAATTTAGAAGCAAAAAACTTAGAATTGTTTAGGTTCCAAACTCTAGTACGAATCACGACATTCAGTCAAAATCTTCCACCAACTAAATATAAGAGCCCACTTTTCAAAGTTGCTTATGAAGCGAAGTTCCCAAAAAGTATTCCCCTTATGAATTTCTTGGATGATTCTAGAAGTGAAATCTTATTGGAGGGCGCAAAGTCTATGAAGGAAAGTACAATCTCCCTTGGAGAAGGAACAACCTTTCCAAATCTGATTCTTCTTCCATCCCCTCCCTTGGAGAAAGAACAACCTTAGATGAGCTTCACTAGGAGCTACAAAATCTATGAGCTGCTTGATAAGTGACTTCTACATGTGACCCTGACAAATTCATCAGAGTCTTGCCAGTATATCCTTGGGTCATATCAAAGGAAATCTCCAGTCGTTTGGAAAACAGATGTTTTTCCAGGGAAAAGTTTTCTTGATCATCATATAAATGCAATTGCAGGACGTGTGTAATATTCCTGTCTATTAGACGGTTGTTGTTCCTGATATGCAGGCTCATAGTTCAAATTGGGCTCTTTCCCCTTCTACTTGTGTTCTTTGCCAGAAGAATGAGGAGACCATGGATCACATATTCTTTCACTGCCAGTTTGTGTTGAGAGGGTGGTCCTTTTTGTTTCAAATTTCCGGGTACTCCGGATGCTTGCCTCAGTGCATCGATGGTTGGTTGTTTGAAGCTTTGCAAGGTTGGCATCTTAAAGGGAAGGCCAAAATCCTTTGGAACTGTGCAGCTAGAGCCCTCCTTTGGAATATTTGGAGGGGAGCCCTCTTCCCCTATGCTGAAGATTTTGTCCCCTGCTTTTATCTATAAAAAGTTTCTTATCCAAAAAAAGATATGTAGACTCATAGTTGTGCTCAGAAGAGGGATCAATACGATGACCATATGGCAGCATGATAGGTTAGAAGCTGAATTGACCAAAAGAATCGCTGGCCTGTACCATGTACATTTATACCTAAACTACTGCGCCTATTGGACTTATTATCCCTCTATGCACAAAATAATGATTTTTTGGTCCATTTACTAAACCTAACCTCTTAAATTGCTTGTTTTAGTATTATATTTCAATCAATCGATCTAGTCTAGAATATAACATATCTGCTTCAGCAGCTAGTGCTGATACCATGCCCATTGTGACATTGTCATTGTGAACTTCGTTGTCTTTCAATGCTTCAATTGTGTAAACCACACATCCTCATGTTCAAGACATTATTTAATTGTTGCACATCCTCTACATTTTCTCTTTTTGATAGAATGTAAACCAAGCAGATTGAAGATTGAAGTAGACTATTCTCATTTGAAACATGGACTTTCATTGATGCACCATTTGCTATAATAGATGTGAAGGGGTTGAAAACCACATGTTGCTATAAAAGATGTTATATATATTTTTTAGTACAAGTGAGAGGAGGACCTCTTGGTTAAAGACAAGTGTCAATTATCACTGAATTAGGTTCATGTTGGTGTAAACGGCCCTTTAAGGTTGCCGTGAAGTACGACATATTGTCGTGGAGTTTGTTGCATAATGAGCTAAGCCGAAGTAGTCCAAATTATATATTAAGTCGGTTCAGTCATGAAACAAAAATTAAAAGAGAATTCGACAAAATTTTTTAGAGAGATAAAAGTTAGAATTAGATAAAAATGTTAGAGAGGGAAATTTCAGACATAAATAAATTTAGAAAAGAGAAGAGATTGAACTAAAAATTTAGAGAAAGATTAAAAAATTTTAGAGAAAAAAAAATGAGAGAGATTAAACAAAAATAGAGATAAATACGTTAGAGAGCGACCAAAAATTTAGAGAAGTGAACAAAAAATTTTAAGAAAATTTAAGGAAGGTGAATGGAATGACAATTTTGATAATTAAAACGATAACTATTTTAAAAACTAATATTCTATTATTTTTTTTTGGTAAAAAATCACTTGAAGAATCACCGTTGGATTTGTCAAAAATCGTTTATGAATTCTTCCTAAACATTCTATTTTAAAATGGAAGTAATTTTAATACGAGTAAAAGTGATTCTAAATGTCAAAATAACTCCCAAACATGCCCTTAAACCAATGGTAGCGGGCATCAATTTATTTTTACTCGTGGGGAAGTCGACCACTTCAATTTCTCAATTGGAACAATCTTGGTCGACTAATTGATTGATAAGACAAATAAATTTGTCACTATCTCTACTCTCAACCGTCATTCCATGGAACCAAAGCGAACATAGCTCATCGGTAATTGACATATACCTCCATAAGGTTGTGCGTTCGAATCTCCTCCCTAACATGTTGTACTAAAAAAAACCACCATTTCATGGATTTAATTGATTAGTAGCACTTGAGTATTTCATATTATTTTCTAAGCTAATTTTAGCTTTTTAATATCATATTTGCTGGTCCCTACTATCAACATATAGCAATAAAATGAGTTGCAAAGAAATTTTTTTTTACAAAAATAATTTGCATGACCATTGAGAAACCTATGTCTAAACATAAATCTATTGAATTTCAAATTCATTGTTTGAGAGCCTTGAGACTATCAATATTTTCCTATACTTGTACTTTAAATCTTTGCAGTTGCACTAGGTAAATTTCTCCTTCCAAATTGGCATGAAGGAAAGTCTTCTTCAAAAGTTTTTGATAAGATATTGGATTTTCCTGAATTCTAAGGAATAAATGAAGATTTTAGTTTCGTTATTTTGTTTCACACGGGAAAAATCTCAATTTGTCAATTTAGAAATCTCACCCCTACCGTGTTTAAATTGTATTGATATATATGATTAAATATATATGTTTTTCTTTCCTTTTAAATTTTATAATCTTTCAATTTAGTGTTTGAGTGTTCAATAATAGTTTTAAGCGAGTAAAATATTTATTACCATCTCAAATGTCGATGGTTTCACATAAAGAATTTAGGATCCATTTGGTAACGTTCCGTTTCTTATTTCATCTTTTTTAATAAAAAAACGTAGTTGTATTGGGTAACTATTTTTTGTTCTTTATTTTTTTTAATCAAGAAAAATATAAACATTAAATCTTAAATTTAAAAATTTTATCATTCTCAAAAAAATTTCAAAAAAGTAAAAATTTTATATGAAACTTAATTTTTTTAAATTAAATATTCCATCTGTTTTTTTGTTACCCTTTGCTTTTTAATTTTAATTTTATAAGTCAGAATAATAAAATAATATTTTTGTTCAAAAAAAAAATAGAAATAAAAACAAAACAACAAAAAAATTTATTTGCGTTATTTCCAAACAAATAAGAAACAACCAACATAAATAGTTGCCAAATACTGAAGTTTCTTAATAGAAATTTGGAAACGAGAAACGAGAAACAAGAAATATGATAACGCTTGATAACGCTAGCAAAGGAGCGCTTGAATGGAGAAATTTGGATTGTTTGATTTCTGAAAATTTCCGTTGAAGAAAATGATAAAAGTTGAGGAGCTTTTAGAGGCCATGAGTTTAGTATTGTCCCCACACTGGGATGAGAGCACAGGGAGTGGAGGGGATGAAACACTATCACAGATCACACAGTAGAAGATACAAAGAGCAGAATAACCACAGCCATTCATTGAGTGAGAGGCTATCCATAATCTCATCCTCTCTTAGCCTTCATCACTCAATCAAAGCCATTCAACTCAAATCTCCCACTCTAACTTACCATCAAAATATATATACAAATACAGCCCTCTCAATTTCCCCATCTCTATACTTTGATTCAGCTTCAGCTTTCTCCGTCCGCCATGGCTACTGCTGCTCTGTCAGTAGCCAAACCGTCTCTCCAGGTTCCTATGCACATTACATTTCTCATACTCATACATATCTCTCTTTTTTGCATCTAATAACGTTACAATATTCTTCTCTTGTGTGTCCCAGGCTAATGGAAAGGGAGGATTTGGAGAATTCTCGGGCCTCCGCAACTCGTCGACCTGCCTTCCCTTCGGAAGGAGAACCTCCGATGACTTCCTCTCCGTCATTGCCTTCCAGACCTCTGCCGTGAGTTCTCCCTTCTTGAGATCTTTTTGTTTGGATCATGATGTTTCAGACATTAGCATGTTTATCTCATAATCCCAGCATTCTCCATTGAAGCATTGCATATGCATATATTACCAACATCCATGGCGGACAATGTAAACAGCTACATGGTCATTAAATTTCTGTAACACCAAGGCTGATTAAAGGGCTGTTTCATGGCTTTTGTTAATCATGTTTGTTTTAATGAATACAATTTGATTTATGATGATTAGGCCTGTTTTTGGAAGAGATGTAGTAGATATAGACTGTTGATTGATTAACAACAAAGTTCAAGTTTTCTTTAATTTGATTAGTATGAAATAAGATTTGACGCAAGGTTACACGGCCGAGAGACGATTCGAACCGATGAAAATAATCCCATTTACTATTATTATTATTTTTTCACTAAGCTTCTTCAAGCGTACGTACTAGTCTCTTGTTTTCATTATTCTGCTTCCAAAACTGATAACAAATAGAGAAAAAGAACGAATCTCAAGGGTTCTTTGATTCTTGAAGGTGGGAATCAGCGGAGGATACAAGAAGGGGATTGTGGAAGCAAAGCTTAAGGTAGCCATCAATGGGTTTGGAAGGATTGGCAGGAACTTCTTGAGGTGCTGGCATGGGCGCAAGGACTCCCCACTCGATGTCGTTGCCATCAACGACACTGGAGGTGTCAAGCAAGCTTCTCACCTTCTCAAGTACGACTCCACGCTCGGCATTTTCGATGCTGATGTCAAACCTATTGGAGATGATGCCATTTCAGTCGATGGCAAGGTAATCAAGGTCGTCTCCAGCCGCAATCCTAGCCTTCTTCCCTGGAAGTGAGTGTTTAAATTCTCTACACTAATTTTAATCATTGTTACGAGCTGCGTTATAAATGAATAGATAAACAACTACGCAGGGACTTGGAAATTGACTTGGTGATAGAAGGAACTGGTGTGTTCGTTGATAGAGAGGGTGCAGGGAAGCACATCGAGGCTGGAGCAAAGAAGGTCCTAATTACGGCACCTGGGAAGGGTGACATTCCCACCTACGTTGTCGGGGTTAACGCTGACGGTTACAGCCCAGACGAGCCTATAATCAGCAATGCCTCTTGCACCACCAACTGCCTAGCTCCTTTCGTCAAAGTCCTCGACCAGAAGTTCGGTAATGCATACTGAATCCTAGCATAAATTCTGTAATAGCACCTACACCCTACAGGCTACATTTGCAGACTCTTGCTCAAGATCTAGTAAAAGTAAAACTCAGGTTTGTGATGGAGTTGGTACAAAATATATGGCAGGTATCATCAAGGGAACCATGACTACCACTCACTCTTACACTGGTGACCAGAGGCTACTCGATGCCAGCCACCGTGACCTCAGGAGGGCAAGAGCTGCTGCACTCAACATTGTTCCTACCTCGACAGGGGCAGCGAAAGCTGTTGCTCTAGTCCTCCCTTCTCTTAAAGGAAAACTTAACGGGATTGCACTGCGTGTGCCCACTCCAAATGTTTCTGTTGTCGACCTCGTTGTCCAGGTTTCTAAAAAGACCTTTGCTGAAGAGGTGAATGCTGCATTCCGGGAAAGTGCTGATAAGGAGCTCAACGGTATCCTCTCTGTCTGCGATGAGCCCCTCGTTTCAGTCGACTTTAGGTGCACTGACGTCTCCTCAACTGTTGACTCTTCATTGACTATGGTTATGGGCGACGACATGGTGAAGGTTATTGCTTGGTATGATAACGAGTGGGGTTACTCTCAACGGGTTGTTGATTTGGCTGACATTGTTGCCAACAACTGGAAATGAGCATGGGTGGTTTTTGCTCTCTCCGAGCTAACCTCATTTCTAGTTTACTTTCTGCATTTCTGCTTGATTTTTCCCTTATTAATTTGTAATCAGAACAGGAAAAACCATTTTCCATTACCCGTCACCCAATAAATATATATGCCACAAAACTATGCAGAGCGATAAAAGTTTCGAAATTCGAGTCAAGTTTGAGGTTTCATTAGTACAAAAAAATTAAATATTTCTGGCTCTGTACAATAAGCTAAACTGAATTCAGTTATGCTTACTTGATCGGTTACACCAGAGTCTAGTATGCTGAAGGTTGAGTTTATAATGTGACTATAATTCTGTTATAGAGTTCAATGGATCCATAAGTGCAGTAATACAAGGCAATGTATGTATGAAAAACTATTTACATAAAATTAAATAGAACAAAAACATTGAGATCAATCATATGAAGAAAAACAAGAATCATGCAGTGTAGTACAAATATATCTACGAATCTATACTCACAGCAATCTGATTTCCTAGAACAACCAATGTTTTCTTCTTGGCCTCGGTTGCACCGGAACATCTGCAAGAGAAATCAAAGCAAGGAATCACAATCTCCATATCAACACATTCACTCTAAAACTGAGAACCAGAGAAAAAAAAAGGATTTTGCAGGATAACCGAACCTTGAATTTCATAAAGTGAATTGTAGTGAACCTCAGACCAGAAACTTAACCAAAACTCTGCATTATGGCGAAAGTAAAGGAGCTGTAAGAACACTAGTGTTCCAAAACTATAGAAAAGCATTTAGTATCTGATTTCTATAGCGTTGACGTCCAACCATCTCAGCTCTACACATCAAGAAACTGAGGTACAGAGAAAATATATATCATATTGCAGGCTGTTTTGGAAACAGCCCTGATACCAAGTCCCATCCTATGTAGTAACAATACATTAAAATTTATCAATATCAAATTACTTGCCAAATGTTGATTAATTACAAGTTCATCCAAGGATATTTGAAGACTCTAGTCGTTCGTCAATTGATTGCTTCAATCTTGCCAAATTCAAAGCCTCCCAATGGTGTGCTCTTTCCGATATTTTCTTTTCTTATTCTCCTAATATAGACTCTAGGGGTTTGGCTTTCCACCCCTTTTTGTAATATTTCATAAAGTCAATAAAATATCTGTTTCCAATGTAAAAAAACCAAAACATGGGAATATCAAGAAACATATACTATCTTACCACGTTTCGGAGTCTGATATTGAGGAACAATTTCAATGAAACAAGTATCTCTGAATGACGTCAGGAGGCAAATCTTTGCTGCAAACTGCACATAAATAAGCAGCTAGATCAAGAAATAAACAGCTAAGGCATGCCTAAATGTTCTAATGGAAAATCTGTCAGATTTTTGGAATATAATGCACTAATGAAAATGGATAAACAAATCTTTGACATCATTATTCAATCATCGAATAATCATCCATCTCTTTCTTTCTCTCTCTCTCTTTCTCTCTTTATCTTGTGAAATCTTAAGCTCCAAGCTCACGGTTAGTTGGTGAAGCACCTAGTCCAAGAGCCATCAGACCAATTTTTGTGCACAGGTCATTTTGAAATGCCGTAATTTCTTTGCTGTTTTTTAAGTGAATTTTTATATATAATTTTTAATTATCTTTAATACCCTTGGTGCATATTTTATACAGAATCCAAAATTGACAATGCCATACAACGATCAATCTGTAAGGTTTGAATTCAAAGACAACTTTTAGCTGTATGCTATACCTTATCAGCTGCTGCTTGTAGGGTAACATGGTCTCCCCATTCACCAGATCTGCATCATATATTATGAGATCAAAAAAGGAAACCTTTTCCTCAAGAACACGTTTCCTATCAGTTAATCCACAGATGTAACATCTATTCGATAAGAGAAAAAAAATTATCTTCAACAATTTCACATACTTTGCCATTTTCTTGTAATAACGACGGAACTTCATTGGAACATAACCTTCATATAGAGAACGGTAGTCCTTTAGCTGGAACAAGAAAATAAACGTAGATGAGTAAAACATGAGCAGGCTATTCACCCTTGAAAACTCTTCACATCAATTTGATACCAAAAACATGGGTAAGGTGTTACCAGTCACAATTGACAAGTCCTAATAAATCACATTTAATTTATGCATATTGATTTATAGTCCATATGAGAGAACACCTCTGATCTGACAAAATACTAACCAAAGTCACAGGTTCTAAAACCATGTCAAAGTGAAAATTTAGTGGAAATAATCAGAATCTGTGAACCAACTTCTCAAATTATCATTTGTTGTCCCATTCCCAACTACTCAGACTGCAAGCTACATTAACCTTTCACTACGTCCTCTTTCATTTGCTATGAAGGCTGCTCATCCCAAACAAGGAAAGGCCACTACGCTCCCTAATTCAAGCACCTCAAGACATGAAAAACTACCTGCTTTACAACGTCTTTCCGTACATGCTTGTGATACTCAGGTGATTTGTACATCTGATCTGAAAGTGCTCGAAACTGCCACAAAAGAAGAAATTATAGAAAGACTAAAGATAAAACAGGAAGCCTTACTCCAGAAATCTGCATACCTGACAATTTCCGTCACCGGATACTTTCACTTCATGCAAACCATACACATTCAGCCTTCACAATGAGATGAAAACTACTTTAGCACAGGTGGTGGGAGTGAGAAGAGAAGTCTAGGAAGATGGTAAGTTTTGATGCTAAACATACATCACTAGACTTATACCACCATCAGTTTTATCCAGGTAATTTTCATAACTTTCCTCTTGACAACACATGGATTCAACAAAAAACCAGATTATCGTTGTTGGACTTTAGATATTATCATAGAAGTAACAATTAATAACCAGGAAAAAATAACACAATAGTAACCTTATTTTGCATTAGTTTTAGGATACCATATTCATTTAGATAAGCTAAGCACTTATCCAAAACATACTTCTAAAGGAAATTAAGGGTGGGGATTAAATTGAAGTCGCAGCAGCAACTCAGTTAAGAAAGAAAGAAAGAACTGTAATTAACTTTATTTGTGTTAAGGGACAAAAGAAGCCATACTGCAACCCTGAAAGAAAGAAAATGTAGGCTAGAACCTGAACGTCATGAGCTGGGCTGGCTAAATGGGCCACACAAATTGGCCAATGAGCTGTCTCATATGGCATAGAGTTGGCTAAGTTAGTTGATCATGATGACTTACTATTCTTCATTATGTTTGTTAATTTTTTAATAAAATTTTTTAGATATGTTTGAATTTGTAATGGAGACCTTTTTTTTTCTTTTGGTAGTGGAGACCAGATATGTTTGAATTATTCCCCAATCAAGCAATTAGTTGTTGCAATTACCGTCAATTAAATTGTTTCTTATAAAAAAATTATTTAAAAAAAAAAATCCTTTAATACTAAGCCGAAATCATAACCAAGAATATAACAAAATAATAACAATAACAATGTTAGCAGTTGGACGTAGTAGTTAACCTTCAACAGGATCATGATACAAAACCACCGACCAAGTAAATTTAAGAACTTTCTTAAGTCTGAACTCCCTCAAAGTAATAGTCAATCTACTGATACTTATCTATGAATGCATATGTGTCTCTTGTGAACATTTTAAACAGTTGTTATTCATGCTAAACTTTATTATTATTCCACAAAAAGAGAGAGAGAGAGAGAGGTGGTATTTTTTTATGTATATAGAGCCATTTTTTTGACTAAGCTGGCAAACTATCTTTTGCTTTGGGAAATGTTGGATACATACATACCTTTGAAGAAGCCTATGATGTTCCAAACTAGCATCACTTTGGTTGGGGATATACAAATTTATCCTTGGAGTATGCTGGAATACCATGAAGAGTGAAGTTTAACATATGAGTTTAGGTAATATCTTTCAAAATTTGTAAAATAAAGCTTGCAGACAATGACGGAGCAAGTATTGTTCATGAGCCTAATCAGAAAACTAATAAACCAGGCGCCTCAGAACATTCTATTAGAATGCAAAATTTCAGGACAAAGATTCTAAAAAAAGCAAAAAATAAAAAATAAAAAAAATTTGCAATTACATCTGAGAAGTGAGAACTAGTAAGCTTCTCTGATCATATACTCTAGCTATCAATAGAGAATTTCATAGTTAGCTCCTTAAAATTCGAACCAGGTGTAAGGTTGGTAATTTTATCTCAACGCTGAATGGAAAAAGTGGTGGCTTGGAAGTTTAAAATAATAATAATAATAATAATAATAATAACGAAACTAAAACAAAAAGAAAAGGGCAAAGATTTATACAGAAATAGGGGCAAGGTTGGAGAGGCGTCTGGCAACAGCACCGTCTAGCTTGGCATACTCTTCCGATAGCACAACAGCAATCATGCGGTCATCATCAATGCCCTGATGAGAGCTCAAGGAAGTTGAACTAGAACATTCTCCAATGCTCTGAGTTCCGGGCCTCATGCTGCCACTTAGCAAGAACTCGCCATTACTTATAAAAGAATGAAAGAAAAAAGCATGCTTTTATGTTGCTGATACAGCAAATGAATTAGACCCGTTCCACAAATGAGAAATTCGAGCTCTATCTATTCAAAGAGTGAGAAAGATGCGTGGTAGTTTGAGAAAAAACATGGCAAATGGAAATGCTATATTTATTGCAACCACCATAATTGGATAGTATATCTAGATGATAAAGAAGGTAGGCAACAAGAACGGAATTCAAAATGAAAAGAGGGGAAACTTATTACACTAAAACAGCATTAGACGCGCACAGAAAGACGTTGATCTGCATAAAAGTACATAATATTGCTTAAAAGATGAAATTAAAAAAAATGGTGCGGTATATCTTCAATGGGTTGCAGATTGCAACACCATTGACAAAGAAAGTAAAGGAAAAAAAACAATATTGAAGAAATGAAACAGAAAAAACGAGGCCGATCAGGGCTACCTGAAATTCTGTGGGTAAAAATAAGGATGAAAGAAAAAGGGGGAATGGGGAATGGGGAATGGGAAGGGAGAGTTCCAATTATACCTGCAACGTGCAAATGCTGAATGCAAGGGGCGATGAGGTTGAAGAAATGAGACGATCGGAGGATGAATTAGGAGAAAGCGATATGGTTTGACTAGAAGCGTTATGGGAATGGGATTGATTGATCGATTGATCAGCTGGAACGGGGAATTGGGAATTGGGAATTGGGATTTTTGTGCAAAGAAATAAAAGGAAATGGTTGGAAAAAGTAAAAGGAAGATGAAAGAAATGGAACGCCAACGCCACCCTGAGCCGACCCAGCTGTGGCTTTCGTTTCGCGGGTTACGAAAGAAACAGTTAATAAGAGAAAGAAGGGCCCGCGCCCGCAGGGTCCTACTCCTACTACTTATTTCAGGAAAGTAGCTCATCAAATCTTTTACCATTTGCATTTGGCTTCAGCTCATCAACCTCCATTTTTGTCCACTTTTGTACGACACACAATAGGATGTTCCAATTTGGCATTTTGACAACCAATGTTCTATGTGATGTGACTGTCCAAATTATAATGATACATTCTCCTCCCCTTCCAATTCATCTTTCGTGGAGCGGTGGAAGAGATCTATTAGTATGATTAACAACGGATGTTATGAGAGGAAAAACGGTGTTGAATATTCAAAGGGTGCGTCGATCTGGTGATGTCAGTTCGATGGAGAGGAATAAGTCAAGTTGGCTCATCTTACCGTTATCGCCATTAGCGCACGTTGAAGGAAAATTTACTAAGTGCAGTCAGCACCCATCGCCAGACTAGTCCTATTGAAATTAAGGGAGAAATTCTCCGCCTCCTTTGACTATTAATTCAGCTTCCAAACACTTAATAAAAAGTTGGATAACCCGTTACCTAAGTATGTTCAAATCTCTTCTCCATAACACACTTACCTTCTATCACCAAAGCTGACTTTGACATAGGATTGCTCACCTCTATTTTTTGCAAGTCACTCGAACTATGAAAGGATAAGCCGCTTTACTTAGACAAATCTGTTCGCCAACAACCATCTTTCTTTAATCCTCTTCTAACTTATTTGATACTTTAACCAAATTCTTCAAAATCCAAGAGTGCGGAGATTTTAGAGGTCTTTGTTGATCTATCATGGATGTGGGAGATGGGTGAGGCTGGATTTTGAATTACCATAGAAAAGGAGTCGAATACGCCTCAATTGCAAGAACTACATACGCCCCTTTATCGTGGGAATCTAGACTGTGATGGAAGGTCTGAAGTTGGCATTGGAAGCAGGAAGGAAATAAAATAGATCCCTATTTTCATGATCTTTATTTATTTAGTTATTTTTAGTACAACATGTAGGAGTGGAAGATCGAACTTACAACTTCATGATTTATGCTAATTACCGCTTCGCTTTGACATTTTCACGATCTTTATAATTTCATAACACAGGGCCCTTTATCTTTTCAACAAACAATTCTGCTAATCATCTATTAAAATTATCTTCTGAAGATATATATTACACCTCATTTAATGAAATCTACTCTTCACAACATAATTTCTTTCCAATATCATGAGGTCCAGATAAGTTCATTTCTCAAAATTATAACACATAATTTTATCTATTTAAACCCAAGTGTTGGACAAACAACTCAAGATGAGTTCTACTATATTACATGTACTGAAAAATTTTAAACACGACTCTTGATAAAACCTGATAGGGCAGTAAATTTACACAATCCTCCCATCACATACAAAATTATAGATCCTTGATTTGATTCAAGTCATTGTTTCTCCCTTGCTTCAAAGCATCCATCATTTGGCAAGCAGCCTCCTCTAAATTGACCGCAACAAATGGAGTTGACCGATACTTCCAATTTTCAGTTTCACAAGCTTGCATAATCTATTGGATCGTAAATGTAGCTGAGAAGGTAAGCTTGCAGGTAAATCTTCAGTTACTATAAATTGATGAACCACTGGTTGCTTTTCCATTTCGCGAGTTGAAATGCACATCATCTGTAAACTGGATGTAGCAACGACATTCTTGAAACATAGCAGCATTGGCGTAGGCCTTCCTTGTTCTGGAAGGAAAAAAAAAACTGTTCAATTCTTTCTTAAGTAATATTCGACCATGCATTTCATCTAGCTTCGAAACTTAGTACAAAGCTTACCTTCAAAAGTTTCTGCTCTTGGGAAGCTTCAAATACCATGCACCTCATTCGGCCAGCAGACCACGGGAATTTTACTGCACGTGTTGTAGCAAAACTTCAGTACCTTAACAGGCTCAGTTATGAACTTCTACAATTGACTGGAAGATTTCACAATGTCAACATACCTTTCAGAGTAAACAGGTTTAGCAATGAACTTTCCACCAGGACTATGAACACTGGAATGCTACAATGATTTCATTAATAATGCGAAAGTAAATTCGTAAGTAGATGGAGATCTACTTGGTGCCAGTGCTGGGATGGAAATTCTTCCATGAATCTCCATCAACTATGCTTTCGTTTCTTCTGGTTCTTGGCTGCATGCAAAGAATTTGCTGTATAATGCGAATTCAAAAGTTCTCGAGGTATAGGTGCTCCAGACGACTTTAAAATCTCCACTAAATCTTTAAATAAATTCTTATCTTCCCCATTCACGAACACTATGGCTTTGCCCTCCTCTCCAAGTCTAGATGCCCTGCCAATCTGGTGGACATACTCCTTGATGGAATTTGGCATGTCAAATACAATCACCTGCCTCACACACAAAAGATCCATCCCTCTACCCAAAATCCCAGTAGCCACCATCACTTGTACCTCTCCCACCAGAAATAACTTCATGGCTTCTCGTCTCTCCTTCATGGACTTGTGCCCGTGAATTGACAATGCCTTTATCCCAGTGGTAACAGTAATTGCATTTGAGAGGAGATCAGCCCCAAGTCTTGAACCTACATATACTACAACAGGTGGCATAAAATGTTGCTTGCTTGCTAAAATGTCAAAAAGCTTTTGTTTCTTATTCTTTGATTCTACCCAGATAACAAGCTGCTTCAAAGCCTTGGTTGGTCTATTTGAAATGCCAGCAGATATAATAACAGCACCATCTCCCATCGATCTTGCCATCTTCTCAACTTCGAAAGAGGTAGTTGCAGAATACATCAAGAGTTGTGGTCTTGAAAGAGCCCTAAAAATCTGTAATACCTGATCGCGAAAGCCTTTTTGGAGCAAGCAATCCACTTCATCCAGAACAAAAGTCCTCACTTCATCAAGTTCAATATCATGCTTCATCAAAAGATCAACCAACCTGCCAGGAGTAGCAACAATCAGTTCAACTCCTTGCTGGACACGATGGAGCTGTCCAGCTAGGGCATCACCACCAACAACAAGGGCAGTTTTAAACGGCATGCCTTTCCCAAGCAACTTAGCTTGTTCTTCAACCTGAATGCAAAGCTCTCTCGTAGGTGTAAGAACCATGGCAAGTGGCTTCTTTTGGCCATGGAAACACTCAATGCGAACACGAGCACAGTAAGAAACTATTGGGACCAGATAAGACACAGTCTTTCCAGAGCCAGTCTCAGCTGAAACAAGCAGATTTTTACCAGAACAAGCAGCTGGTATAGCTTGCATCTGGACAGCTGTGGGCATCTCATAGCCTGCGGTTTCCAGATTTTGGAGGAGTTTCTGAGGAAGGTCACAGCAAGAAAATGACAAGATAGGGGCACAATCTAGGTCTCCTTTCACACTGATTCCAAGTTTTCTCCTAAGCAATTCAGTCTGCTCAGAAGTCAAAGAAGAAGATCCCAACTGATTAGAATCATTAACATAAAAGCACTCATCAGCTGCAGGAAGTCTTCTAGGAGATGGCAAATCTGGTGGCAATGCATTTGACACTCTCCGTAGGACTGATTCTTTACATTCCATGCTGCAAATATCATCATCTGTCTCATCACATATATATTCACCATAGCGACCACATACAACACATTTAGGTTCGCCAGGCAAAGCTTCTCTCTGATCTTTACATTTCACTTTAACACCAGATTCTACATCAGAACAAAAGTTCAAGGATGATTAGACAAGATCCAGATCATTTATCAAGAAGATGACAAAAAAGTTTATCAAAAAGAACAGATAAATCACTTATACAGCCAATGAGTAAAATCTCTAGGGAAATACAGTAACATTTCCTAGTGCCCTTCCATTTTACATGACCCATTGTTTAAATTAGTTAGTGTAAGTGTCAGTTAGGCCAACAATGACAGCTATTTAGGCTGTAATAAATGCTGCCAAACCTTAATGGATTGAGCAGACCTCAATTAGAATCATGACAATAATAGCAAAGAAGATTTCACTATCTTTGGTAACAGAGTAAGGAAATTATACTTGTGTGCAGATGACTGGCAATCGAGAGTTACATCACAGCAATGCATGGATCATGATATGTGAACTGATACTTGAGAACATGATCCAGAAGCAGTGCTCTGCTGCTGAGTATAATCTGCTTCTAGGTGGCTTCATTAGGAGAGGTAGCAGAATATGTGACCTTCACGGAAAACTTGTTGTCAGGGTCAACAAATTTTCACATTCATCCGGCAACCCTCTCAATTGGAAAGAAGATCCTCCGGGTTTTTTTTTTTTTACAAAATCCTTTTTTCCCTATTCGTTACAGAGATAAAAGATCCACAGCCCACCGTCCCAATGCATCCAACAAAAGTCAATTCTTTGACCAGAATTTGGTTCTTGGAGGTATTAAAACAGCATAAGTTGTTCAGACACCTTTTATATAAGTCCAGTACCCTTTTTCTCCTATAGTTTCCTTTTGTACCTTTTATATCATCAATAAAAACTCTAGTTTCTTGTCATCAATGAAAATTTTAGTTTCTTTTCCAAACAAATGGTAGTGGAAAAGAAATCTTTCAACATTGAAGCCAATAACAAAATTAGAGGTAGCAGAACTAGGATTTTCAAACATGGAAAAGACTACCCATACTCTATCTCTCTCCAATGGGGCTCCCTTGGTTAGCTAGTTGCTTCAGAAACCTAATTGGCTTACCTCTCACCCACAAATTTTCCCAAGGAGTTTCAAGAGAGATGACTATGTCTATTAGGTGGAAAAGAAATTGAGCAAGAAAGAATATGTCGCTAAAATAGCAAAGCTGGCTCAAATGGTAAGAAAGGCAGAATCTTGGTTCCCTCAGGAAAAAATAGGAACGGACAGTCTTCTTTTCTCTTGTTAATAGAGGACTATCCCTTTAGAGGCTCTTCTACATACAAAAACTCCCATTTTCTTCTAAAAGGAATTGGTGGTTGGTCTTAAAGACGATGGAGAAAAAGGGTACTGGCATTTAAGTTAAGAAGACCTCCTTTGCTAACGTTACAAGGGTTGACATTACTCCCTTCTGATACAGCCTCACATCCTTCTTTGTCTTGGATATTGATCTCTCAGATGGGGAAATTCTATTGCTGTATAATGGAGATTCCTCTTGATCCTTTTTCCTTTTTTTAACTTTTTATGAGAAACGATCCATTTGAAGATTCTTCATGATGTCTAGTTCAAAATCCTTCGTGCTCTTAAAAAACACGGTCATCCACAAACTAGCAGGTAGACTGAAGTGGTCAATAATACATTTGATCGAAGATGATGTAATGGACTTATATTAACCTCTTTCAATCAATATAAAAGAACCAAATTAGGGGAGTTTACAATTCAAAATTAACTCCCAAGACAAACTGTTGAACCAGTTTTTAAACCCAACTCCACTACCTGGAACTGTAACATGGAAGCTGAAGATATGGCAGGAAGAATAACTACGTTCCATAAGAAATAACTAGGAATTTTCAGATTCAAATTAACAATTGCTGGCAGGAACTAAAATTAACAATTGTTGACAGGCACCTGGAAATAATGAATTTGAAGCAAGTAATTTAGTTGTGGTGCACACACCATATTCCTAATTGGGACATAGACTAAAAAATAAAGCAGAAGAATATTCACCCCTGTCAGATACCACAAAATATTTGCCTTCAAAGTTACAGACAAATGAACCATTTCCAGACCTGTTCAATATTTATATACTTGGGCCATTTTGCCTTCATCGTAAAATCAAAGCAAATTTAATCATAGAGTAGCAAACTGATGTAGTAAATTCCCGGGTACATTGTAATTTCCCTGTCCTATTCCAGCTATTTCAGTTAGATAGAAATAACATCATCAATTAGCCTATTTCAGTTATACATATGTCGTAATAGATTCCGCCAACCTCAATGGAACGAGAAGAACTAAATTCAAATTTTATAATATTAGCAAGATTTCAGCAATAATATAAACGATAAATTTTAAACATGAATAACGAAATATTTTGGGGGCTTAAAGAAATGAAAACAAACATAGAGAACCTAGCCAGAAACGACCAAGCAAACATAAATACGTCAAATAGCACATATCAAAGTAACGAGAAGTACAAACATAAATGTTCGTGTGTCAAATAAACAAGGAATTCTTACCTCCAGAATTATCAGCATCTGTCGATTTTGTCGATGCTTCGGACACACCATTCCTGTTATCGTTTTCCATAACTAAGAACTGGGTATTATTCTGTTTAGATGAAAAGGACTCAAGCAAGCACAGCAATTCCTGAAAAATAAATAAATAAACAACCTTCACCAGAAATCTAAAAGGGCAAGCTGCTAGATGGAAGGAATCCCAATAAAATCAGGGGTTTGTAAGGGACACTAATAAAATTCTCGTTCTTTACTAAGTAATTAACATCTGGATAAGCTCACTTGAATCACTTGATCAATTGTTTAAGCGGAACCTCCACAGAAAATTGGTAGCGTCCAAGTGCATCTCCCTCTCTCCTAATCTTTTGTTTGATACAATACCTGCTGCGACATTATAAACAAAAATGTGCATCCATTATGATGTGGAATCTGTGCCTAAAAAAAAAAATCTTCGTGATGCGTATCAAATAGATGAATTCTCGAATGCAAGTAATGATGCGAGAAGTGAAGATTTTGGTGGAACAATCTGCAACAAACAGAACAGAATAGAACGGAAGAGATCGGAGTAGATTACTTGGAATGGAATGTAAGGGCGGACGCTCTCTGTATGCCGATCGCTGTCTGGCGGGAGAACGTACGAATTCTTCAATCTCCTCTCGGCTCTCACTTTTTTCTGGCGCTAGAATTTTTGTCACCGTAAGCGTAGGGTGTTTGCTTGTACGACTGGGTTAAGAAATAAGCAGCAGATACTCTTTTGAGAATTTTGGGTATATTTATTTTAGTTTAAATAAGATTTGTTTTAGTCGACATATTTTAAAACTTTTGTACTAAAAAAAACATATTTTTAAACTTTTACCATTTTATTTCATGTACTATCCAAGTATTTATTCATCTTGATTATTATAACTTCGCAAAAAATAATAATAATAATAAATAAATAAATTTATATGAATCAATTCTTTGTGTTGCTGTCAATTATTTTTTCCATTCGGCTTCATGGGATAGTAATAAAGAAGTGACTTCTTGAATTGTTACTGATCCAGTTTTTGCAGTGATTATAGATATAGTAGACTCGTATTCTGAGCCTAATCCTGATAGAATATGTAGTATGTGGTCTTTTGTAGTTATAGTCTTACTTGTGGCTTTCAAAGAATCAATTAGATTTTTGATTTGACGCATGTAATCTTTTAAGTGCAAGATTTCTTTTTCTAATTATAATGTTCTATAATTTGGTTTTGAGTTCCATCACCTTAGCAAGATTTCTGCTGGTAAACATCTGTTCAAGATTGCTCCATATTTCTTTTGATGTCTTGCAATGGAAAAGATCAGTAAGGATCTCTTCTCCCATCAATCCAAGTAACCACGACATAATGAGTCTATCTTGCTTCTTCCATTTTGTATAGGCTGGGTTGTCTTTGTGTTAATTCTGAATTTTCTATTATTATCAGGTATCTTTGTTGAGCTCCAGATTCTTCATCAATGAATTCTTCCAATCCATGGTCTTCTAATGCAGCAAGAACCTGAAATTTCCAGAGGAGGAAATTTCTGTCACTGAGTTTCAAAGTCGTTATTTTGTTACTTGGATTTATTGTTTGTGCAAGACTACATTCATGGTGACTTTCGAGTTGACTTCTATAGAACCAGTCATTCTTTTGTATTGTCGTTTAGATTTTTGTAGTGTCTGATACCATAAAATGAGTGGAAAGAGATGAGGAAGCAGTTGTATTTCTGTAATTCAATCGACTGCCAAATACATCTTTGAGAAAGGTTTATATAGACAATAGGGCTTTAACCACCATTTGGACTTTCTAACTATATTTGGAACACAATCCATAACACTTTCTCTCAGGGTTTCAATGGTTTATCTTAACAATCCCTTGTGCTTAATAAATTTGCAAAATTTTAGTCTCTTAAGAGAAGAAAGTTGAAGTTTCTGCCAACTTTTTAAAAATTGGGAGGGAATATAAATTATAAATTTTCTTGAGTGTTTAATTGAAAAACTATTTTGTTTCATGTTTTTCTTAATACAACGAGTTAGGTAAGTGATTCAAACTTAATTTTAATATTTATCAATAACAAAGGTATATTCGAAAAATAGGAACCAAATTGAAAAATATATACATACATTAAGGAGTATAACATATACTTAACCAATTCGATAGGTGTGTTTTTTTTTCAACATGTGGGGCGGTGGAAGATAAAACTTACAAACTCTTAGTTGGAGATATATATTAATTATCGCTTAATTATGTTTGTTTTGACTTTCGATTGGTTTGGTGTGTTATGCATCTATTAATATGACATGTTAATTTTGGCGAATGATCAAATAAATGAAATACATTTTAAACTAAAATTTTTCGACCACTTGTCCTTGTTTTATCTAATTGACCTCTTTATTATATACCCAATCATTAAGTTAGTATGGTACTTGTTCATATGTTGAGGAAATTTTTTAAATTTTTACCCTAAATTTAGTAAAGTGTGTCAATTTTTATCCTGGATTTCTAATTTCATCGTATTGTACTTTAAACTTGAATAAATGCTGCAAATTGTAATTAATACTTTTGTAATTTTTAACGATAGAAAAATTTTAGCCAATCACAAATTGTCACGTCATTACTTTTAAAAATTTATGATAAAAATTGATATTTGGTTTAGGGTTTAGGAGTTAGATGGATGAAACAAGAACCGACACCAAATTGGGAGATGGGTTTAAACATATAAGTGGTATTTGAGCCACCAATACCAAACCCAAGATGTAGGGAATTCTTTTTGTATAATTGAGTTCAACAAACAAACACTTTTGAAGTTGACAAAAATGCAGTGTATTTGATCACAGTTTAAAGTCCCCACAATGTAGAAGACAGCCAAGGAGCAATCTAAGCCTATGAACACAATATATATAGGCAAAAATTTTATTGGATGGCAGCCTGGTGAGTAGTAATGGTTCATACAAACAAAAAAAAATAAGTATGTGTAAGGAAAGCCAAGGAGGGTAATTCAAACTTCAAAGGGCTCTGTCCATGAGCACCTTGTGAGTGAGTTCTGCTTCTGCATCCTCATCTGGCGATGGAAGTTCCTAATGAACAAGTCTGCAACATGGTCTATGTCCTGTTCCAGACAGAACTCCTCCCCTGCCTCCTCCTTGGAATGTTTCACCATCTCGATCACCGACCCTCCTACTCCGCTTCCTCCGCCCTGATCTTCATCAAATGCACTCTCAACCAGCGACTGCCTCAGCCTCACATCTGGGGACTGCTCCGCTCCCACCTCCACCTCCGCCTCCGCCTCTTCCATGGGCGGTTGTAATTCGCGGTGTTGGTCGTGTTGATGGGTGGATGTTAAAGGGTGGAGCTTGTGGGAGATTGAGGAGACTAGGAAGTTTGTGTTGGAAAGCAAGGAGTGGATGATGAGACGGGCTTTGAGGGCGCGGCTTTTCCTTTTCACCATGGCGCTCAACGCACTCAGCATCTGCTTCAGGACCCCTCTCGCTGATTCCTTCTTCATATTCACCTCGTCCAATTATGAACATTACCCACCAAACTCAAAGAAAAGCTGAGTGAAAGTGCAAGCACAAGGAGGAAATGGAAGAAGATATGGAAGGCCTGGCCTAAATAAGACAAGGCAAAGGCACTGCTGCTGGAAGGAAGAGTGGTCGTTAAGAAAAGGCAGAGAGTGGGGGGGACATGTCGTTCCAAAAGTTGGGGTAAAACTTCGAACCAATCAAATACAGGACGCGTGGCGGAATGCAAGAACAGCAACAACTTCAATCAGTGGGATTGGGATATTGGGATTGGGAATAATTTGAATGCGAATTACGAGGCCAAAGGAAAGTAAAAGCAGCAGACGATAACAAGTGGCCGGTTTGTACTTTGTACCAGAAGCTCCAAACCAACAAGATTGAAGCTTTTTCTGAGTACAACAAGTAGGGAGGGAGAGATTCAAACTCATAATTCTCTTAATTAAAGATAAATGTCAATTATTGTTGAGCTAAGTTCATGTTGGCGTTTTCTTCCGACTACAGACGACATAATTGTTGAGAGAAGAGTGTGTGTGCGTGGAGGGACAAGTGTATAAAGAACATCAAGTGAAAGGCAACAGGTCAATCACCGAGAGAATAAAGTTAAGGTCAAAAGGAATAAAGAAAGGACACTGCCCCCTCATGTTACCAACAACTTTAATCAAATGGGAATAACTTTGGTGCCAATTCCAAGGCCGCTCACAGTCATTTTCTTCTCTCTTTTTGATTTGAGAAAGAAAAATGGAGAAAGGGAGGGAAGGCAAGTGATTAAAAGATAAGAAACCATGGTGTTGGTTTGCAAATGAAATAACGACTTCAGCTTTTTGGGTATAAATGACAAAAAGAGGATACACAATTAAAAAGAAAACTGCTTTTAATATGATTGAGAGCACAGACAGCCAATTAGTGGAAGTAGTGGACACTAATAAAGAAAATGACAAGCGTGGTCTCATTGGATTGGAGGAGAGAGATACACCATTTTGTGGTTGGAGAATACTTAATAAGAACACAGATAATTTTCAGGACCATTTTTTATGTTTGGGTCAAATCAAATCTTTAACTGCAGAAGATCTAATGCTTTGTTGCACTGTTCTTAGAAAATATTAAAAAAATTACCGTGAGTAGAAAAATCTTTTATGTATTTTAAAATATGTTACTTGTTTTTTAAATTTTCAAATATAGCACAAATTTTTACTCATATCAGTGATATATTAGATACTCATATCAGTAATATATTATGTGTATATCACATACATATTGCACAGACACTCATATTAGTAATATATCAGACGTTTATCACATACATATTACAAGTATATTAGACACTCATATCAGTAGTATATCATACACATGTATCAGTAGTCATATATATTACAGATATATATCATTTGGGTATTTTAAAATTGGACCTTCGTTTTTTTCAAAGTGCTATATTTGAAAAAATTAAATGCGGTTGCTAATTTGCTAGTGATACTAAATATTTTTGCCATATTTATAATTGTCCCAAATACTTATAAGTTGAACGAGACAACGTACTAATAACGTCAAATATAATACTACGGAAGTAGGTGGATCTTCTATATATACGTTGCTTGTGAGTAAATAGGTAAGTTAGGTTATTACTTGATTGGCAAAAACTATTACACCAAAGTACCATTGTTTGATTGCTAGCAAACTAATGATTGAGCGACCTTGACACCCCAAAGTTTATTGCAACTCCTGAGCTCACCTATATTTCTCAACATGGAGCTCAACACTTGAGCTCATCGTTGGCTTAACTCCTATTAATGTCGTCCAGTCTCAAATCATTCATTTAACTAATGGTTGGTCTCATATAATAAGACTGCTACTAACTATAACATTATGATTGCATAGTTACCCAACTTGCACTTCTTGCCGAAGGCTGAGGTGGCTAAAGAGGTGTGTGATGGTAGCAAGGTAAACTAGCTAGTATGTTTGAGAGGAGTGCAACACTAACTTTACTCGTTAGAGTTGTATTATTGGTTCAGTTAAAATAATCAACATAATTTATCATTTTGAAAATTCTTCCCCCGATGTCGACTTGAACATAGCTCAATTAGTTTGAATATGTATCTTCAAATAACAGGTCGTGTGTTCAAATCCTACCACAGGTTGTTGTACTCAAGGGAAAAAAAAGGGAAAAACAAGTTTATCCCCTCACGTTGTTCATGTTCGTCTATTCGGGATGGAGCAGGCTATCAAAAAAACAATTATTTTTTGCAATTATGACTCACATTTCAAAAGAGGAGAATATGATTGCAGGTGGAGGAGCAACAGTCACTCTCAGTAAACTTAATGTGGAAGGGCACAGCAATTAGCATATATGAAAATTGAAATGGGTATTCCTACTTACGTTACTTGCGTATCATCCGGCGCCGTTTTGGCTCCCTTTTCTTTGAAGAAACAATAGAAAGAGAAGCTTTCAACATTCGTCTCCTTGACCCACCGGCTCTTCTCTTCTAAAAGTCGGTGAATATTTATATGACTACTTCCACAGCTAACAATTGATATCTTCATTTTTCTTTTTTTGCTTTTTTTACTGGGCAACAATTGATATCTTTCTCAAACTTCAATCTCTAAATTTGTTGCCTAATTAATAAAAGGCTAAAACATATTCGGTCCCTATACTTCCATTAAAGTAATGATTTAATCCCTAAATTTAACTTTTTATTAGAACGATTTAGTCTCAGTACTTTCATATTGATAATAATTTAGTCCTTAAATCTTTGATATGTAACAATTTAGGCCCTACTATGAAGATTCTTATCAAACTTAAGCGTTAATTTTTATCTTAATTTCAGGGACTAAATTGTTACCAATTTGAGAGTGGAATAACTAAATACGTTACTTTTGAAAGTTTAGAGATTAAATTGTTACCTCAACTAAAGTAAAATACCAAAAATATTCTTTAACCTTAATAAAATTATAAATACTGAAGTCAAGATTATGTTAGTCCAGTGGCGAGCTTATAATAATGGGGGCAAATGTACTGTTGGAAAAGGTATCTGTTCTCTTTTTCACACATAACAGCAATTTCCAAACAATTTCTGTCGTTTTTCCATTGAAAACGCACCTCAACTCTTAACATTTTCTTTCCTAATATTAAAACAAATAAACAAGGAAAAAAATACAGAGGAGATGGATTAGGAGCGGTGGTTGGAGCTCAATTTTCAAATACAGGAGCAGCAGGAGCGTTGCTTCCTCTAAATTAAATGGGTATGGCTCCACAACCACAACCTCCATTTTCCTATAAAAATCCAAGGCTGCGTTTGATGTTCCCCATCAGCCATCTCCTCCTCTTTCTGGTCCGGGTTTTCTTTGCTTCTGCGAGGTCTGCAAGAACCTCGCAGGAACAAAGAAACCCGTCATCATATCCCAGCTGTAGACAGCCACACCCATTTCGATAACTGGGAGTTGGAACTTTTCTCTTGTATACTCAAGAGCACCCGCACCAGCCTCAAGGCTCAGACCCTGCCACACTCATTTCTTACAATCACAATCAAAATCAATCATGGGTGTGAGATCCAAGAGGCTTTGGAATGTTCTCAAGGTGACCCTGATTCTAATGGCAAGAAAAGGTCTAATCTCCAAGCGAAGGTTCATCATGGACATGAATTTGATGGTCAAGAGAGGGAAGCTGTTCAAAAAATCTGTGTCCAACTTCATGTTCAGCGGCAGAGATGTGGCACATGGCAGTTTCGGCCTACAGGATTATGAATTCTCCTGCAGCAACACTCCCATTAATCCTGTTTTTTCCCATGTGTCAAAGCGCAGCACCAAATACCACGCTTACTTCCCCTGTATCAATCTTCCTGTGGAAATGGAAACAAAGCAGCAGCAACAAGAACAGGAAGAAGAAGATGGAGATGAAGAGGCCTACGCCTACCTACACCCACAACCCAAAGCCTTTACTTTTCAACCCATGACTCCCGAGAAAGGAAGCCCACTCCTTTCCCCATTCTCTGTACGAATATCCAACTATTCCTCTGAGGAGGAAAATGAATGTAGCAGTGAAAGTGGACAAGTGGACAATCAGGCTGAGGACTTCATCACAAGGTTCTATGAACAGCTAAAGATGCAACGACGCCTGCAACTACTGCAATATACTTGAACTCAACCAACCTTATTCCTCTCAAGTCGTCTGCTTTCCACTGATGCATTTTGTTATTCTTTTGTCGCTTTCGACAAACTTGGGATTTGAGAAAATACATTACAGGATTCTACTTTTATGAGTACATCTGAGCATTGAATAACTATTTAAGTTGTCGTTGATTTCATCCAAAGTGACAGCATTAATGGGCTTTTTCTTTACCATCTCTCTCTCAGTAAGATGTACCATTCCAATAGTAATTGGTATGAGAGGCTTATTTGTTAAGCTGAAACTACGGCTCCAACATACCTTACAAATTTACGCTGTCTGAGTTGTTGCGCAATTAATCGGGTGTTTGTGAAACACCTATGTTTGAAGATAGTAATGGAAAGCACGATTGGAAATTACTTCCAAAAACAAAAAGGTGTTGGACATCAGACATGCTTTGGTTAGTTCAACTTTAAGTTTGGCAAAGTTTTGACAGGACAAAAAATGTACCACCCCTATCTCTATTCTATCTTTCTTGTGAGTTCAGAAAATTGTACAAGGTTGCCAATTGAGTCACACTAGCCAATTGTCACTCATCATAGGTTGATGTTCGTTACCCGTCACAACTCAACTATGACTAGTTAGGATGTCTTAAATAGGTGTGTGCACTATGACGGGTTGCAATGACATTGCTTGGACGTGCAGAGAATAGGTCAGTGCTACAACCATATGTAATTGGTAAGCATAAAGTATGAGAACATATTACTAGTCATGTCATTACAAACTTCTGATGTGACCTCATCGAACCTAACGTTTGTTTCAAGTGTCTAGTTAGGCTACAAAGCACAAGTGACTTTCATACTAATCCAGAAAAAAAGTAATCCAAAAAAATGGAATTTTTTCCTCACTTATTTTGATTATGTATTATGGCCGCCCGATAACTTATGGTCCCATCGAATTGGGTTACAACCACCTGATAGCTTCTAGTTTCACCTAAACTATGACAAACTAAGTTACTTTTGATCTCACCTGGGCAATAATCCACTTGGAGTAGTGGCTTCTAATCTCTAACTAGTTGAACTAAGATTCAAGGTGACTTTTAATCTCACTGAATTGAACTACAACATAAATCCACCAGCAGGCTTTACGATCTCACCTGCTAGTGGCCTAGTTAAATTGTGATCCTGGTACAGATGACCTATTTTATAATTCTAAAAATCTTACTCATAGCAGCTATGAAGACATGCATTAAGGATCCAATTAGACAAACCCAAGTAGCAGAAAGGAAAAGACACCCTTGTTCACCTGACCTAACTAACAGGAAGACTTGCAGTAATCCAAGTCCAACCCCACCTCGTTCTCGGAATGTTAAAGGGTCACTGTTTCAGTTAGCTGTAATCTCTCTGTCTCTATATTTTAATACGGCATTATTGGGTGGTGGTGTAAAAGGGAAGGATGGTGGGTCTCATTTCGGGATTCAAGACCACGTAACTAATCTGCAAAGAACGCGGATTTTGTATTTTCAATTTCTGGTCGGTGGAATCAGAGTGTAAGAATTTCAACAATCCCTATTCCCACATTCTATTATACTTTTTTTTTTTCCCTTCTGTTTGCTACAAGGAACGATTTGGAAAGAAGAATTAAGTTCAAGGTGGGCTCTATAAACTGGTCGAAAATAGATCCGGCTCCAACTAAATTCTGTTAAATATGCCTCCTCTCCTCCATAACATTATTGCTAAAAGTTCACTTCTATCCTTTCAAATTTTTTTAATACTTGGTTTAAATACAACTTTGTTACTAGTACTTTCGACTTGATTTATTTTAGTCCTTATATTTTCGACTTTTTTATTTTAGTCCCTATATTTTCAAAACATCCATGGAACTTGTACTCTAAAAAGTGATCATTTTGATCTCTATTTGCAAAAATTTAACACAAGTTTTATACACGATGAAAACTCTTCAAGAAACTTATTAACTAAAGTCTCATGCTAAAATTATGATTAAAAAACAACGAGAGATAAAAAAAAGAAAATGAATGACCAAAATTATCACTTTTTTAAAGGATAGGAACCAAATCAGACATTTAAAACTAAAATAGACAAAAGCTAAAAGTATAGGGACCCAGATGAACCAAAATTTAAAGTAAAAAGAACAAAATAGTATTTAAGCCTAAATTATATTATCTTTCAATATTGATACAACTTAAACTCCAAAAGTTGGGCATGGCTATAGGAAGTTCGGAAAGGAATCATTTCAGCACTAAGACTGCTCTTCCCATATAATCGTAAGGTTTGAGTCTTCTAAAAACTGGGAGGAAATATTATCTTGCTTTATGAGGAAAAAAATGTTACTTCATAATATACAATATTGTCTTTTATAATTCTATGTAAGAACATGCTAATAACGGGTATAATGAATCCTAACTACTATACCTATAGAGAGTGAGAAAAGGCATTGATTTAACACTCCAGCCGAATTTTTCTTTTACTGCTACTCCTATTCAAAGGCTTTAGGAGAAACCTATGTTTGTGTCGAGCACCTTTGTATCCTCATCCAACGGGACCTTACTCCAATCAGGCTTCCTCGTGGAGAACAACTTCGGGCGCTCCAATGCAGTTCCTCTAAAGCCAGTCATCCTTGATGACACCATGGGCATCACAAGTACTGCAGATGCATTCAGTGAAACTTCTCCAAAACCCAGAGAAAGTGCCAAAGCAGCCTGTGAAAAGAATAAGACGGCATGTGGTTAAACAGATTAAACATGTTGACCATCAAGCAAGTTAGCTTGAAAAATCCCCTTTTTTTTTAGGGAAAAAAAATGAGTGAAAGATCACAGAAGTGCTAACAAAATAACAGGCCGGAAAGAGGAGCCAACTAGAAACTAAACTAACTATAAAAGGCTCTAATCCAAAAGAACAAGGCTTAAAGGATAATTACAAAATTGAAATGGACTCCAGTACCTTTGCCTTGGCTATTACATCTGAAATCTTTAACAAGAGTCCTTGTGAAAACGATCTTTCCTCCCTAGTCTCTGCTGCTGCTTCTTTGGATGGCATGATTAGTCTGTAAATGAAACGTATGCAACAGAAATGGGTTAAGAGGTGCAAATAAAAAGGCAAAAGTATAAGCACTTTATCGATCATAGATTTTTCATTGTCGAATACTTCACGTCTTCCATAAAAACTAACAAGGACACCTTTTGAAAGTGGTCTTGAACTCCGTAAGATTTTTTGGAAAACACTCATGTCACCTAAACATGCAAAATAGTTGATGTACCTCTCTTCTTCTGCCGAGATGCTAGTGGACTTCCCAGAAACCAGTGATGAATTATCCTTGAATTCCCCGTCTGAAATTTATGTTCCAATCAAGCTCTCATACTTGCAATGCAATCCCAAAATTAATGTGAACCTAAATTAAAATACCTCTAGGCTCATCGGGAGCTAGCAAAGAAATGCCTATGAAAACCGACATCAGTCCAAGTATGAACATTGTCGTCCTCAAAGCATCAAGCACCTGTTTAGAAGAGCATGCAATGGTAAGCTTGCTACCCAAATTGAATTCATACTCGAGGCATGAACAGTTTAAAAGGAAACAGGCAGCATGACCTTGAAATGAAAGGTTAAAGAAACGAATGGTTAGAAAGTGATCACTTTATCTACTGCTTTATACAAACAGAGAAACAGGTTTTATGAATTGGCATTATAGACTGACACCTTTGAGCAACTGCCACGCTGAAAATTTTGCTAGTAGTTATTGTATCATGAAAGGGAAAAAATAAACATAACTTGGTTACTTGTTGAGTCATATAAGAAATGTGAATCTCATTCCTTAGGAGTTAAGAAGATGATAAATAGAAACTTCATCTCAGCCCATAAAATTCTATAGACATGTATAAAAAATTCGAGTTCCCAAAAAACCACAACTATTGATGATAAAAGTCGATTTACATAGCTTTGATCCCAGGCTAACCTAAACTATTTGGTGGATTTAGTAAGAGATCATGATCATAATCAGTGTCATGCAGC